GCACCTTCTCTGTACGTAATGGGGCCAAGCCAACAACAAGAAGGCCGCCTCTCTCTTTCTCTCTTATTCATTTTTTTCCTATTCCTCTGTGTTTTCTATGGTATACCTGCATGCACTTGAGCACATCAGTTGTCTGAAGTAAATTGGAATGGTCTCAGCATCAGTATTGAAAACGAAAGATATAATAGAAAACTAGACTTAACCATGATAACATTGTAGTAATATAATCTCCTTGTTATAAGGTCAACCCTCCTTTCCTACTCTTTCTAACTATTATTCTTTTAGTAACTATGACTAGTATATATATAGGATAGCAGAAGCTTGGCATGGCCCGAGAACGAATGAGGACCGCATGTTCAATCCGTGAGCATCCTAAGCGACTGAGAATATATTCCATGCACTCTTATTTTAATTAACACAGAGAAAACCAGTACTACTAATAAGCATATACATCAATGAGGGGTGTTGGCTTAATTTGATCGTTTATTTATATCAATTCTCATATAATTTGGAGAAAGAATGGCACATCTTACTCCTTCAGATGTGGAGCCAAAGTCACATGCGTGCCACATGTGCCATGCATGATCTTATATATGTGTGTACATGATGCTCTTAATCAGTTTTGAGTAGTTTTCTTTAACAATAACAACAATGAAAGAGGAGGACCACAAAATTTAAAAAGGCAGGCCAGATTGAAATGGTAAGAAAGAAATAATTAATAGAGGGGGCATGTGATCTGGCATGTGTAGCTCGCACCTCGATGCATAGAGCTGTGGCCATTGTGGATTGATGGATACATTAACATATATAGCCTTTGTTTAATTGAACTTTGTTTCATCTAACAATAATTTAATCCTTCTCTAGTGAGAAAAGGAGTGCCTGCGGAACCATATGCATGCAAAAGGCTCAGATCGTTTGATTGGTACCTTAATGCCCTGGGAAAATCAAACTGAAAAGGATATTTGTTTCCATCGGGAAACAATTCCAAGGTTTGTGGCTCTATACTTTCTTTACAAATTAATTACTACTCCTACCCTCGTATACTATCTAAAATTTTGTGTCAGGTTTCTTACAATCCTGTTTCCTTTACCTGTTTCACAATTTTCATGAATCCTTTGATCTTCAAAAGATAATTACTACTGCACTCCTTTCCTCAATTAAGTTGAATGTAAAGAAAGAGGGTTTCACTGCCAAGTAAAAGCATGTGTATAAGCGTTATCTATAGTTTATAAGTATTGTGCTTGCTAGCAGAGAGAAGCAGTAGACTTATTGTTTTCTCTAAATTTGAGTGACATATTAAACGTAGTATAGAAGAGAAGAGTACGGTTGTGGATGTGGATCTGGACGTCTGGCATTGCCAGGTAGAGAGACTTTGGATCTGTTCTGGAAAGATGGGGATGTCAAGATTATCTAAACATCACATAAATTGGTTTATTTTATGGTTCATATTGCATTGAAATGAATTCTTTCCTACCAACTTGCATCTTATAATTAATGAGATTTCATAGTCACCTATATATGGGGACCTAGTTGTGCTTAAATCCCCTCCAACCAACCAAGTTAAACCTCCATTTTAACCTAAATTATGTATGTATACACACACACACAAGTACAATAGTAATGGAGCTGCCTGCAAGCTTGCAGATGAAATATATAACTATCATTCTCTCTCTCTCCATGGGGAGTTTTCAGTTTTGATTCGAGTGATCCAAATCACATGCCTTGTCCCATCAAATTCAACAACAAAAGCAAAAACAAATGGCCTTCATATTTTGGGCCATGTCACCTTTGCTTGGCTTATATATGTTGCTCGGAATAAAAAAAAAGAAGAGATTCTAGCTTGTTACTCATCATCAATATGGAAAACGCTGCTTCAAACTTGATTGCAATTGCTAAATGGACCACCACATCTTAGTCTTTGGATGATTCAGTTTGTACACTACACACCAATACCAGCTAAACCTATTTAATTTGCTTGATTAATATCCAACAATTTCCATCTACTTTTGGTCCATTCCCCATGATTTTTACTGTCTGCTCTAAAGCTAATTAAACACCCAATTTAGGCAATCAAACAATCCTGATGTCGGCATAAATTATGCGGCTTTGTAATTGGGTCAGATGTTTCTCCTACAACCATTGTTGCAAATTTTTACAGTCATCTATCATTGCTGGTTGATCCATGACAAGTTGCAATCATATCTACAGGCAATTTTGACTATACCATTTCTCCTTTTTTAATCCTTTGGTGCATTTTACTAGCTACACTAGATACTTAGCTTTATATTAGGAACATAAGACTATAACTTACTTTATAATTACAGAAAGAGAAGAATAATGAATGAGAATAAAGGGGGCAATGAAGCAAATCAAATACTATGAACTAGTAGTAACCAAAAAAGGGTGTAAATTGTTGAATCAATGAAGGGGCAAAGATGGCAGCACAGCAGCCAGGTGAGAGGAGACAAGATGAGAGAATAGAAGACAGGAAGTTCTATCTCTGCGAGATTGTGAAAGAGAGAGTTGAGAGTTTCCTTTGGGCCATGGGCGAGCCGGCCAAAAATAAAAATGGTTGAATTGAATCTGATCTGACAATATTTTATTGCTGGAGTAGTAGAAACTAGGAAAAAGCACAAATACTGCT